CGCTTTTACCTACTGACAGCAGCTGCTGACAGCGACCGCAGCTACTAACTGCGGCCACATAGGATGCGATGCGCCGATTAACGCTGGGATTGCAGTTGCTGCGGCGTAGTAGCGATCTGATTTCCCCTGCGTGACAATGCACGAGCATGGTCCTGTCCAGGCATTCAACGCTTGGCACGTGTGTCGACATGGCGCTTCACCTCCTACGCTGAGTCAGGGGTCGAATTTCCAGGCGCATTCCACTCACTTTACGGTATTTTCAGGTCGTTTTACCGAATTTCAAACCCGACAACCGTGCAAATCAGATTGCCCAGCAACACATGTTCGAGGAAGCACATTACGGTCCATTGAAACGCGGCATGATTGGTGCAAACTCAGATTGGATGCAGCCCGTCTTTCCTGCTCAAGATCTGAGTTTCCGAGCTGCCATGACGACCGTCGATCGTTCATTTTCCAATTTCCATCGTCATGGTCCGCTCGTTTGCTGCCGTCGCGGTCTTTGCCGCCTGCCTCGTGGCCGCCGACGCCGCCAACATCGCGTCGTCGCTCCAGCACAAGAACACGATCTTGGAGCGCCTTCAACTCGAGGGTCAGCTCGAGGCCGGCATCCCGGACCTCTATTTCGACAAGCAGATTCTTGACCACGGCCACGACAACTGCGGCGGCAACACGACCGCGTACTGGAAGCAGCGCTACCACGTCAACGACGAGTTCTACGGCGGCGCCGGGTCGCCCGTGTTCTTGTACATTCACGGTGAGAACGTCGCCGAGCCCGGTTACATTACAAGCAAGGGCATGCACGTCGTCAAGATGGCGCAGACGCACAAGGCGCTCCTCGTCGCGCTTGAGCACCGCTTCTACGGCAAGTCGCAGCCGACGTCGGACATGAGCGACGAGAACCTCAAGTACCTCTCGGCCGACAACGCGATCGGCGACATTGCGACCTTCCAGGACTTCTTTGTCGCCAACCGCAACATCTCGGCGGCGTCGCCGTGGGTCGCCTTTGGCGGCAGCTACCCCGGCATGCTCGCGGCCTGGACCAAACTCCAGCTGCCCAAGCGCTTCGTCGGCTCGGTCGCGAGCTCGGCCCCCATCGACCTTGTCGCTGACTTTCACCAGTACGCCGACATTGTCGGCCGCGGTCTCAAGCAGTACGGCGGCGACGAGTGCCTCAACACGCTCCGCGAGGGTCTCAAGCAGGTGCACGCGCTCGTCGAGTCCAAGGACGCGGCCGACGCCGCGACGTTCCAGAAGCTCTTCAAGCCGTGCACGGCGTTCGGCTCGGAGATGGACAAGATGCTCTTCGAACAATCGATCATGGGCACGTACCAGGGCTTCGCGCAGGGCAACGACTATGAAAAGTATGCACTCAAGCAGGCGTGCGCCGACTTGACGGCCAAGAACGGCCTCACGCCGCTCGAGAAGGTCGCCAAGATCAACCAGCTCTCGTGGAACCCAGCGACGCCGGACGACAACTGCTCGGCGAGCGACTACATCAACCAGTACGTGATCTGGCTCAAGAAGACCGAGACGGACACGGTCAACATTTACCGCCAATGGACGTACCAGACGTGCGCCGAGTTTGGTTTTGGCCAGACGGGCCTCACGTCGACGTCGCCCTTCTCGGAGCTCAAGTACCTTAGCGCCAAGAACGTTTACTATCAGCTCTGCAAGGACGTGTACGGCATCGA